GACAACAAATGGGTAAAAGTCTATTTTAGCTTGCATAAACAATTAAGTATAGGGTGAGTCATAGGTTTGAGGCCTGAAAAGGGAAAACACGTAGCCTAGCCTATGGGTGTAAATGTTCAACTTGATCTTTTGAGTCGAACCCTCCATCTTTCTACACCTTTCGACCAGACTAGAACAACACAGCATTCGTTTCACCAGTTGTGTGTCCTTCTAATGAACCAACTGTGTGTTCTTCGAATGGCCCTTTTCAGAAGGTTATTAACTTCTGAATCGAAGGAAACTTTCAGAAGATTATTGACTTTTTGAATTGAAGAAAACCAAAAGGAGGCCTTTACTTCCTGAGTCGAAGGACATTCCTGAGTCGAAGGACATTCCTGAGTCGAAGGACACTGTTTCAAAGGGAAACAAAAACTCAATTGAAGCTTGTATGAAGATCATTTCCTTCTGAATCGAAGGAAACCTATTTGAAGTCACATGCCCAGACGAAAGAGGCACGCTAGCAGCAACTTTTGAGCAATCGAAGGAGGTGCAAAGTCCAATCGAAGGGGGCTGAATCGAAGGAAACCTATTTTCCTCCAAATTCGTCAAAATGTTATTTTCATCTGTTTTCTACCTTTTTGGCAGTTTCCTTTTAATTCTGGTGCTAGAAAATCCCAATGTACTTTGTGCAAGCTTGAACCTTGAGAATCCTTGTGAGAAAAGTCTTGAAAAATGAGAGGGCAAATTTTGGGGTACAACAACATGGTTACGTATACTTAGGTCAATTCAGGAAGATTTTTACGTACCATCCATTACCTTTAATCACCAAAATACCCCAATGACATTAAAAGGAGATCCAACAATCCACCCCACTCAAACCACATTTCACTAACACAAACACCTCATACATACCAAATATATTCCCTCCCTCCACCTGAGGACTTTCTATTCCCTAGACTCTACATCCACCATGTGTTCCCCAGCACACCCCTCTTGAAAAAAATACCCTTAACCTTCACTATGATATCTCTAAATTACTCAATAACTACCCAACCGTCTTTCAACCACCTTGTGGACTTCCGCCAGCCCGACCTCATGACCACCATATACCTTTACTACCCCATACACCTCCTGTCAATGTCAAACCTTATTGTTATCCCCACACACACAAAAATGCAATGACTGTAATCATACAAGATATGTTGCACAACGACATAATTACCCCTAATAAGAGTCAATTTTTCTATCCTGTCTTGCTAGTCTAAAAAAGGATGAGACTTGGCATTTTTGCGTCTCCTACATAGCTCTTAACACCATAACCATTAAGGACAGATTCCCAATACCCACGATTGATGAATTGTTGGACGAATTTGGGTCCACCGCAATTTTTACAAAGATAGACTTACGCTCAGGTTACCACCAGATTCGTGTTGCATCGATAGACACTCATAAAACAACTTTTTGTACTTTTGACGGGCACTACGAGTTTCTCGTAATGCCCTTTGGGCTAACTAACACCCCATCTACTTTTCAGTCCGCCGTGAATGACCTTTTATGACCATACTTACGCAAGTTTGTGTTGATATTTTTTTATGACATCTTAATCTACAATGAAAATTTTAGTGATCGCTTAACTCATTTGCAGGTTGTTTTTTTATCTTTTGGTATCTCATTGTTTTGTTGCGAAATTGTCTGAATGTGAATGTGTTTTTGCAGTGGATCAAGTTGATTACTTGGGGCATATTATTTATGCCGGTTGTGTTGAACCAGACCCAGAAAAGATTGCGGCTATTTTAGATTGGCCTGAACCTCTTTCTCTCACGACACTCGGGGGTTTCTTAGGGCTCACCGGATTTTATAGAAGGTTTGTAAGAAATTACGACACTCTCACCACTCCCCTTACCGATTTATTGTGTACCACTAAATTCTCTTGGAGTACAGAGGCCTCTTGTTCTTTACAGAATTATAGAAAAAATGACAAAGATGTCGGTATTAACATTGCCAAACCTTACAAAAAAATAAATTTAGAAACCGATGCTTCAGGAGTTGCCATCGGCGCAGTTTTGTCTCAAGAAGGGAACCCAATCAGATCCTTCAGCAAGAAATTGACTCCAAGAATGCAAGTTGCCTCCATTTATATGCGTTAGATGTATGCCATCACCAAATCTATAAAAAAAATGGGGATAAATTGATAGGCCAACACTTCAACATCTACACAAATCAGAAAAGTTTAAGGAACTTATTGTTGCAAAAGATTCAAACACCATAACCACAGAAATGGGCCTCAAAACTACAGGGATTTAAGTTTGAATTTTTTTACAAACTTGGACGCTCAAATCTGGTTGTTGATGCTCTAAGTCGCAAATACAGTGAACCCCATTTGCTCCTAACTATCTTTTCCCCAGTGCCAGATCTTATCCATCAACTCCAAAGAAATTATACAAGAAACAGAGAAGGACAACAGTTAATCTCAAACTTAAACCAAAGAGCAGATGATCAAATTCAGTTCAGCATATCATCCAGAAACTGATGGACAGACAAAAGTTGTGAATCGCTGTTTGGAAACTTACCTCAGGTGCTTCACAAGCAATCAACCATGCCGCTGGTACAAATTTCTTCATTTAGTTGAGTTCTGGTACAACACTTCCTTCCATTCTTCTATTCAGATGACCCCTTTTCGAGCACTTTATGGTAGATCTCCTCCATCCATCCCAGATTTCATTTTCGACTTTGTTTCAATTTCCTCCTTGGACGAAACCTTGCAAGCTAGAGAAACAATATTTATGAGTTAAAAAAGAACTTAACAAAGAGGAAGAATCAAATGGAAACACAAGCGAACAAGAAACAGATGGATTTTACCTTTAACGTGGGATATCTCCTTAAGTTATAACCCTTTCCTAAAATATGAATGGAAAAGAACCTTTCATAAAATATAGCAGTATAGGGTAAAACTCTCCTATGCAAGAACAAATTATGAATAGAAAAGTTGGCACTTTTCATAAAATATAGCAGTATAGGATAAAACTCTCCTATTCAAGAATAAATTGTATGTTTATATGAAAACTAGTGCAGTGGAAAAACTATAGAACACACTCCCTCACGCAAAGGACTGGGCTATACTCCCTCACGCACAGGACTGGACATCTAGAGCGTGGAAATAAATGATGAGTGATCCGATAGTAGAAATCTGATAGCAAGTGATAAACCTTAAATTAGACTTTGATTGTAAGGTGAAGAGTATCATTCTATATAAATTATTTCATGATTCTATCTCCAAATATAACACTTGGAATATTTCAAATAGACAAAAAAGACTTTAAAATCATCACTAAAAATAATAACATTGCTCAAAGAAAAAAAAGGAATAAAGGAGAAGGAATACAATAAAAAAAGGAATAAAGGAGAAGGAATACAATAGAATAGAATGACACAAAAATATTGCACATAAATTTGAGCCCCCACTTCATGAGAATCATTGTTTTTCCAATACTTTACAATAGCATTAGAAATGGACAAAACACCTCTAAGAAAAAGAAATCTTTGGTAAAGCTTCATGGCACAATTTAGAAGGGGGTTGTTCATCGCTTCCTCTGAAATTCATTCAGGCATTTTGTCGAACGGTTCACATGCAGATGAAGCTGAAGCTGAAAACTTTTAACAAAAATCGTGGACGGCAGGATTCGAACCTGCGCGGGCAAAGCCCACATGATTTCTAGTCATGCCCGATAACCACTCCGGCACGTCCACATTTGTGTTGTATTATCTTAACTGTTACTTCTTACTTATTTGTATCTGTTATCCAGAATAGTAGAGAATTCCTTACCAAATTTTCAACAAATCTCAACTAAAATCATTTAAGTGACTTAATCTAAGCCTTAAATATATATATATACTTTTAAACTCATTCATCTCAGTTCTACAAATAGGATATTCAAAATGACTAACTTGGATTGTGAAAAAAGGAAGAATTTAAAAAAAAAAACATTAATAAGTGATGCATGAATTTGTCTATGTTACAAAATAGCAAGTAAAGTCAAATAAGGATGAACAAAGAGTAAGAAAAACAATGTTTTTGGAATTCTCCTCCTAGATTGAACTACTATTTATTTTTATTCCCGCAGACTGAAACAAAACTTCCCAAGCCATCTCTATTGAAGAAGAACAAATAGTGGAGATTTGAGTGTGTGTTTTTAACCTAATTTACATGGTATTTTGATATAATTAAGTGTAAAGTATTTTGACTTAGTCAAATTTATAACAAAAATATTGTCTAGGAGAAATTTAATGTCCTAAGAATTAATACTGGAGTTAACTTCCGTAATATTCACTTAATAGTGAAATAAACACGCTATTATGAATTTAAAATATGTCATATGAATTAACATGAAGCTTTGTATTTTGGTGTCTATAAAAGAGCATTCGGAGATTATCATCCATATTATTCCAAAGACATTTTCGAATTTCTTAAGGTGGTTCTTCATCTGTGAGAAGAGCAATCTCCATCAATATGGGTTGTTGCAAATAAGAATGGAACTGGAAACAAATTGGTAATCAAATCCCCTTGGATTAGGCCTCGCCTCATGTGGAAGACAAAAACTCGCAAACTAGTTTAGATGGCAAACTAATCAATTTTACAGCTGAATCTCTGTCAATGTTGTAACACCAAATCAACCAAAAACTCTAAAACCATCACTAAAAATAATAAAATTGCTCCAAAAAAAAGGAAGGAGAGGGTATTATAATAGAATAGAATTACAAAAATTATTGCACCTAAATTTAAGCCCCCATTTCATGGGAGTCATCGTTTTTTCAATCCCATGCTTCAGAAATGATATCATGAGAATATGAAAGTTATTTCTTTCTTAGTAATCTTTTGTACTTTTGAATAAAATTTTACAACCTAGAATGCAACTAGATTACTTGAAACAAACACACATGTTTTATAAAAATGTTAGTTTACAATAGCATTAGAAATGAACACAACTTCTCTAAGAAAAAGACTAAAGAAATCTTCAATAATTTCAAGCTTCCTTCCTAGTTATCCTGCAATCAAACAAAAGCCAAGACACTTATAATCAACACATTGTTCTCAATAACATAAATAATCTAATGCTAGTAATATACCTGAAGCAATATATTCCAAGTGCGTCTGTAATTTCACGAATGACAGATGTTGCAAAATGCATGTATAGCGATCCTGTGTTTGCAGAAACAGAATTATCAACACACAGAAATTAAGCTTTTATTTTAAACTCAGTCGTTCGGATACTGCTATATTTTTTTATTATATACTTGTTTTTCTTCTAGTTCAGGTCATTGTTTTCTTGGTTTCCTTTAGGACAATGATTATAATCCTTTTCTACTGTACTAATTCCTTTCTCTTCTAACAATATTTTTTGTCTTACCGAAGTTCACTTGAGAGGAAAATAAAGTCTGACCAGGAATTGTTTCAGTCGGGATTCAAAGTCAGACTTTTGCAAACGATTCGTCTTTGACTATAGTTCATTAACCACTTCAGTTCAATCACTTGAATATGTTACTGTTTTTTCTATAGAAACGAAAAGAAGTTTTACCTGTAAATGCACAGTAACCAAGAACAACTAGTCTCTCATTAACTAACGGAACCCTGCGAGAAATGTAAAATAAAATTTTAGCATAAACCACATCTACCAACGTAATTTAGAATGTAAAATCAAGGTGCGTACCCTCCGTTTAGCCTTGATGCGAGGGCATTAGCAATGGCGAATGGGAGATACACGAGGGACTGTAAAAGATAAATAACACTTGCATCAATTATCTTTGAGTAATAAACTTCAACTGATCACTTGAATGAAATCGGCTAATAGATTAATCAAAGTGTTTTCATTGAGCTAACATGTTCGTTGTCATTCCATCATTTGATGGACTCGTTATGATCGGTGCATCTCTAAATAATAATATGACTATGATAGATTCTGATATGAAAACAACAATAACAAAGCTTTTTCTCACTAGTGGGGTCAAAAACATGGATCAAATGTGAAAGCATAATTAATTTTAAAAAGGCATCTTAAAAAGATTTTGAGAAAGTAACATCCAAATAAAACAGCTTAATACCAGGCACATTCCAGTTTTTAAGCCCTTTGGTTCTTCACAGAAGTGAGCCAAAATCATCCTTCCCTGCAAAATTAAGCTTTCCTCAGACAATTTTGTAACACAGGGAGTTAGAATGTCTATAAAAAGCAGAGAAGAAAAATGATGCCTTAAACAATATTTTTTTTCAGATTTAAGTTGTAGATATCTTACCACGAGATATCCGAAAGCAAGTCCTGTTCCCATAACAACTAAATGTGGATAACTAGCTATGATGTCAGAAGGTGACAAATAATCCCTGCACCAAAACCACCCAAGCTTATATATACAAAAATATATATATATTAAAATGAAATGTATATAACCTCCAAACAAACTGGAAAAAAACGATGCATTTTGAACTGAGTTATACCATACAAGCACTCCTCCGACAAGGACAACAAATGGGTAAAGCTGGCCAAAAAAAAGCACACGTCAAAAAAGCAACCAGATTACAGTAGAAGAATTCCAATAGGAAAAGATGTTACCATTGCCAATGCAAGGAGCATACTTCTATTTTTAGCCTTCACAACCTTGTGAACATTATGAACACTGCATTGAAGCAAAAGATAATGTTGACATTTGGAAAGACCTCTTCATCAAATAACTAAGAAAATAATATACAAAACACTAGGATCAATATGCTTTTAAAATGTTGTACACTCTTTGTTGCTTACATGGATGATTTAAGAAATAGAATTATAGGCATCCAAAAAGTATCACGAAAAAGGATATAAAAAATAAGAAAGAAGTTGTCTTAAACCTATACTGTACTTGTGTTCAAACTTCAAATTATAAAGGAAGGAGAAAATGAATGAATGGATTATATGCTGAAAAAAAATAGGACATTACATTGTTATGATATATTATGAGGTGATACTAGTACAAGCCTTCAAATCCTAATCAAATATGGAAAGATATCAAGAAATCTAACAAAATCAGGAAAGAACCCTAGATGAACATCTAAGGTACTCTTAAATATTATAAAGATATATGACATTTTCAGATTTTAACAACTTGAATCTACAACTTTAGCCAATTAATGCTAATAGTGTAATTAGTAACATAATAAAAGGTCAACCTAAAAGATATTATCTCGGATTGAAGACTTGGAAAAGAATTCAGAAATTTTATGCCAAGGACTAACAGCATACTGTGCATACTAGTATACATTAAAGTTCAATGGTTTTAACTAATACATACTTGAATATGACAGTTGGGATAACACCAAAAACTACCATCAAACCCAAAGCAGCACTGTATGTTGGGACATCTGAAATCAAGAATGAAGTCAAAATCAAGCAATAATTTATCAAGAAGAAACTACATAGCAATGAGGCTAACAATAAATAGACCCACAATCATTTTTCAAATTTCAGTCTACCATGCCACCATAAGCCTGTGTAGCCGAGCTCATTCTGGAAAACATATCGAACACACCCCGCTTATTTATTTCATCGTCCAAACTACACATCCTTCACTTTAGTCTCCATATAAAAAATCTCATTAAGGAGTGTTATATATGAAACTGGGGTAAAGGAATAATAGTCGCAGATAGCATTACAAATTAGAGATGTTTAACCCATTATCCCAGGTATAGAAAGAAGACCATTGTCCCAAATATTGAAAGAACACCATATAAGGACACACAGTCTTACCTGCAATAAAAGGCAACCAGTTCAAAAAAGGCAAAGACTTTCCAAATTGTTGAGCCCACCACTCAGCACCTGTAGAAAAATAATAACAATAGTAACATAATTAAGTTTTAAGCATTTATAATCTTAAAAAACAAAGCTCAAAGAAAGGCATACCCACGATAGCAGTGAAAAAGTGAGCAAGGTATATTAGCATAAGACCCTCAGTAGGTCCATTCACAACAGGCAGTATAAGTGTATTGATGAAATAGCTGCATCCAAAACATTCAAAAGAAAATCAATATCTCTAATCCGTCTAAAAGTACACATGGTACATGGTATTTAAAATACATAATAATCATGCCAAATTGTCAAAAGAATGATAGGATCAACTAGCATTTAAGAGAAAAGGTTGAAGAAAAGAGAAGAAACTCAATTAGAGACTCCTCAGGATCAATAGAATCGTAAGGAATGAATGTGAAATAGACTATAATTCAAGAGAGCTCAACCTCTCCCAAATTCTGACTTGATTTCCAGTATCCCTTTCTCATTCTCCCATCTACCTATTTATGACATCACACTCCCCTGTTGTGGATAATTCAGTTAGTTAGTTAGTGGATTGTTAGCTAACTACTATAATGAAAACATAAACCAACTCTCTCTTCTTAAGGGTAAATTTGTAAAACAATATCAATTGCCAACAAAATTAATATTACTACCAACTTTTAAACTTCCGTGATTTAGTCAATTAGGTCTTACTGCTAGGGACGGAGGTAGTATTGTTTAAAAAAAATACGATGCAATATAACATATTGACTACTGAATATAAATTGATCAAAATAACTTACTACTCCCAGGTTGCCCCAAAAAATGTAATTGCAGATATTAACCACCACCAGAATGTACTTCTTCCACACATGGCTGTGCTCCCAAAAGCAAGTGCTTCAAGCTGAAAATCAGTTCTTATAGATGATTGACTTTATTTTCTTTTAATTTTAATGGTTTGAAAACAATAACCAAAGCCAAGAGAGACATACTGCACAAGCAAGTGCATCACACCCTGCAATGCATATGAAAATATCTTCATTAATAACATAAAGATGTATACATGATGAAAAACGACACAATGAAAAAAATGATGAGGAAAATAACCATGATCAAACAGCTCCCCCAATGGGCTTGAAGAATTGGTTCGTCTAGCTTGCTTCCCATCAACAGCATCAAATGTCTAGCAAGTAAATACAGGCATAAGCATATATATAAACACACTTATATAAGCCCTTGTCAAAAAATAAACACGCATATTTTAAAATTAAAACAATAATCAAATTAATCACGGAAATCAATGGAAACTTCATCATATACTCAGTCCAACAGACGATTGAGACTAAGTGAGCAAGCACACAATATGAGAAGTTAACCAACCTGGTACAAAAACAGAAGTATCCCGTGTGCAACATGAACCCATCTTGGAGGAGCTGAGTCCAATTCAGGTGAGTATACCTGGAAAAATAATGAAATTTCAGTGCGATGGATAAGGAATTCACTGTTACAACACAGCCATTCACACTGTATCCAAGTTTCCTTCCATGACAGTGTAAGAAACACTTACAAAAAAGAAAAACCCAATAAAGCGTGAAATCAACAGCAATCTTAAAGATACCATATATATTTGTTTGTACAAATTGCAAATTTTATTATATATGATTTGGCAAAATGAAAATTTTTGTTAGACGTTGCAAAATTATCCCTATTATATGACTTCAACTTTATGAAGCAAATAGATTAATGGACTCAGGGTCCACTCACATAGCCAAGCAACACAGATATTAATAAGAACATAAACCCTGTCAGCGTTATCTGCAACCAAACAATTTAAGAAAAATCAGTGACGAGATTTATATAATAAGAGTAACAATAATAGATGATACTACAAAAAAATGGAAGCGTTGGCATACCAAGTTCGGTCTGCAAGATGTTAAAGAATGCCAAAATGCCAAGCGATGAGGAAAAATAAAACAAAAATGTAGAAGTTAGTGAATTAAAAAATTAAAACTAAAATCGTAAAATAATTAAACCCAAATGTCCACAGAAGAACAACTAATGGTATTTTCTCCACGAATGAGTTTTTGTGTTGTAAAAGTCAAAAAATGCAAAGCATCTACTTAAAAGTTTTAGAATGAAAGGAAAACTGATAGTATCAAGATGAAGACACATATCAATGATAATATATTAATACATTATCATTGATATGTATAAAAACAAGAAAAGTTTCATAGAATAACAAAGCTAAAATTTTCACATACAAACTTCATAATGTGATTTATCATCTTTCAACCGAGGAGATTTTTTTATTATTATGAAGTTATAAAATAACAAAGTTATAAGTTTATAACAAAAAAACAAAAGCAACCTTAGTTTGAAATGAAAGAAGTACTTACGGCATCCATAGGGGAAACAAATTAACAAACCAACACCAAAAGGGCTGTAGCACATATTTGGCCACATAGGAATGATCTACGCCACTATATTTATGTCTATGAAGAGCTGTTACACCATGAGGCCCGATATACATTCTGCAAAACTACGCAATATACTTCAAGTTCGTGTTTAACCTTAGCACAACATGCTGAAATTTGAAGAATAAATTGACCAAAAAACTATAGGAACTAACCAAATAATAACAGCAAAACATGTAAAGTATACACAGAGAGAAAAAAAACAATAGAGCAGGAAAATACGTTGCAGATCATCAATTATTAAATTAATAGAAATACAGTGATTCTGTCTATAAATAGAAAGTCAAGTATATATTTTGTGTTCACTGACTAAACAAAAAAATTGTAACAGATGGTTAAAAGAAAGGCACTGGAAAGACAAATTAACAGAGGAATTACGGTCTTTTTCGTACGTTTAATTTGAATTTATCTCCTGACATAAACAATTGTAAGACTGTTCGGGCAAGCCTATGGAAAAAACTTATGAGCTGTTTTCAGTATATTACAGCTTATTTCCACAGGACAGCTTATGAAAACAACATATAGGTTATAGAAAAACAATTAAGTTACACTTTATCTTGTACTATAGAAAAACTTATCCATAAGCACTTATATAATAAACACTCATTATATAAACGCTTAATTAAGCTGCTTATCCAAATCGAGCCTTAGTGTATGTTTGTTTAACTTTTGGAAGAGTCAAAACTTAAAAGCAATTCTAGAGGTGTAGAACTGATGTTAGAATGATTTTGAGGTGTTTGGTTCTTCTAAAGTAAAATTGATTCTGCCTCCAAAATTGATTATACTTTAAGCTAGAATTTGTAGTTTGAGTTTAAAAGTGATTTTTACATTAAAGTGTATGTTTGGTTTGTCTTTTGGAAGAGCCAAAAGCAATTCTAGAGGTGTAGAATTGATTTTGGAATAATTTTGAGGTGATTGATTCTTCTAAAGTAGATTGATTCTGCCTCCATAATTGATTCTACTTGAAACCACAACTTGTAGGTTTTGAATTTAAACATGGTTTTTACTCTGAAATTTGTTGTTCAACTCACTTTTCCATAAATGTATCCAAACATAAATCACTTTACATCCAATTCACTTTTAACCAGAATCAATATTAGAAAATCAATTCACTCAATATCAATTCTCCTCACCGCATAACCAAACATACACTAACTCACTTTCAACCAGAATCAATTTTACATAATGAATTCACTCAAAATCAATTTCTTTCACCGCATAACCAAATATTCGCTTATTAAAAAGATTTTTAGTAACAACTAAAAATGGAATGTTTCACCTTACAGTAAACACAGTGATCCTCTGAATTCATCAAATCAGTAAAATGCTTGTTCATAGCAACTTTTCAAAACAAATACATGGAAAAAAATGCATGAATCAACGGTAAAAACAAAATTGAATGGTGAGATATGAATAAGGTAAGAAAATCGCGAAATGAAAGCGTGAATTATGGTGAAAATGAAGAAGATGTACCTGAATTGAGAAGGTGAAATTGAAAGAGGCTGGGGAGGTTTAACCTATGTGAGATGGAATCAAATTCGAATCTAGAAAAGGAGAGTAAGCGTAACATGTGAACGTCAAGAGAGAGTTTGTTTTTTAATCACTTTTTACTTTAGTGGGTTAAATATAAAAACATCCCCTACAATATTATTTAACTTAGGTTTTAGTCTTTCGTAAAGTTTTTTTTTAATTCTCTTTTGTGTTACGTAGATTCTCTCAGATCACCTTCACTAATTAGATGTCATAGAATTTTAAGTGACATGTTGAAATATTTGTCACGTCCTATTTTCAATTTAGCCACATGACATTTTTAATTAAAACATCAATTTGCCTAGTTGTTAATTACGTTTTATATTCGTTATACCCCCTGCAATGTTAGGGTTTATGTGAGAAGTTTGTGTTGCAAAGACGATTAGTCGTTAGGATTCATTTTCCGTTGAAGCTTCTGTCGTATACAGACGTTCGATCGTCATGGGTGGAAGCAAGTGTTCTTCAACAAGTAAGGGTTTGTCAAGATGTGGTTGCAACGAAAACATAAAGTTATGGGTGTCTAATACCGTCGAAAATCCAAGCAGAAAATTTTGGAAATAAAATGCCATGGTGAGTTGTTTATAAGGTTGTAATTCTTCTTATATGAACCTTCTCATTTGTTTATGTTTTAATATTGGGAAAAAATGCAGAATGGTTGTTGTTTGTTTCTTTGGGATGACATGGTTAGTGAGGCTGAAGTGAATTCATCTAGATGTTGCGAATATGACATGAGCAAGGGTTATCTGCGAGAATTTGCGAAGGAGATCGTTGAGGAGAGATCAAACAAGGTGGAAAAACTGAAGAGAAAGGTTGCATTGGAGAAGACAAAGAATTTTTGGATGATGACTGCAATTGTTCTGTCTTGAATGTTTTTTGTAGCTGTGTATTTTAAGTAGTTGATATGGTTTGTAATTGGATGGCCTGTCATGGTTTGTAAGATAAACAAGTTTATGTTGAATTAAACTCTAATTTTTGGTGGCCAATGTAAGACAAATTATGTTTTGTTGAATGAAATTTTAAGTTTTGTGTAATTTAGTTAAAGTTACACTCATTGACAGTGAATATGTCTATGACACCAAAGTTACATTCATTGAAAGCAAAATTTTGACAGCAAAATATGTCTAAGACAGTTGAAATAACTTGGTGCAAAGTTACAAATTTTTGACAACATAGTTGAATAAAATTTTGGTAGTAAAGTTACAAAAGCACACTTGGTACATATGTCTGTTACAGCATTACCAAAAGGCACACTTGGTGTATATGTCTATTACAGCATTACCAAAAGGCACACTTGGTGCATATGTCTATTACAACATTACCAAAAGGAACATTTGGTGCATATGTCAAACACAATAATAATAATACAAGCAAATAAAAGGCACACTTGGTGCATATGTCAAGCCCTTAGGTCTATTAAAGATAATATAAAACTTAGTCTCTAATTTTTTTGGTGTCCCGTGTCTTCATAAACCTTGTTTTCACTCCTAGTTTGGAGTCCTTTGAACCTGACTTCTCTCCAACTTCTGTTATGGTGATTGGTTGCTCACTAGATCTTGGGCCTGTAATTGGTTTCTTAAACCAACTCAACTTAATCCTTTCACTTTGCCTTCTTTTGGTAACTGGCTTCTTTCCTTTCTGTTTCTTTGAGTTAGTCACAACAGCACTCTGAGTTGGAACAGACTTCTCCCCAGCACTATGAGTTACATTTTGTACATCAGTTGGAACAGAATTCTCCCTATCGGTTGGATCTGCAATTTGTACATCAGTTGGAACAGACTTCTCCCCATCAGTTGGATCTGCATTTTGTACATTAGTTGGAACAGATTTCTCCCTAGCGTTCTCATCTACACTTTGTGCATCAGTTGGAATTTTACTCTCAGCTTCACCATAATTTTTAACTTTCCTCTGCATGACTAATAATATTAGATTAGTCACAAAAAAGTTTGTACAACAAAATGAGTTTTGAGAAACAATTATACCTTTCTTTCAGTACATTGGGATCTTGTGTCAATGACTTGCAAGTCAATGCATTGTACCCAAACTTGTCACATCTTGTGCACTTATATGCAACCCCATGTCTTCTTATTCTTGCACCTTCCTCTCCAACTTCTCTTATCCTTACCTTCCCAGGCCTTCCTGGACCTCTCTTGTATGATGATGGTAAAACTTATTCCATTTCTACTTTTGGGCACATATCCTGACCATTGATAGGGCTTATTGAAAATCCATAACAAACTACAAATTTTTCTCTGGTGTAACACTCATCAACAAAGTCATATGGGTTTTGCTTCATATAACTCAAAGCTGCCACAGCATTGCCTATAAGGTATTCTCACTAACTCCCAGAAGTTGCAACTACATGACCTTTTAGTTATGTCAACTATAAACTCTTGGTGGTTGTAAGTATGGGTGACTTAGAATTGCTCAGCTATGGACCATGTTGACAGCCAATGTCCACTGTTGTATACTTCATTATCTAACCTTCTCCTGGGTATAGGTATCACTTTATGTTGCCATTTTTCTAATTTGGTGGCAGATGTAAACAACATATTCATAAGGTATTTCCTTATCCATTCACACATAGTCAGTATGGTTTTATCCCTAGCAACTAGTATTATAATATTGAAATATTCAGATATGTTATTCATCAAAACATCACATTTAGGGTAAAAAGTGAACGCATGCTTACACCAACTCTTAGTAGGGACTGTAACCAACCAAGTCCAAGCATTTTGATCCACTTTCTTCAATTCATTCATCTTCTGTGACCATGCTTGCTGGTATGTAGCTTTAGCAACCCCCATCATCAAATACCTTATGAGGGATCCACCACCAATTTTTTTTTTAAATTCGCATATAAATGTCCGAGACACAATCTGTGTTCTATCCTGTCAAACATCTCCTCGAATACAGCAACTAGTCCCTAAAACAAAAACACTTGCAAATTCAATACATACCCGACAAGTTAATAACAGTTAATCAATACACTACTAACAGTTAAGGATACGCATACCTTCTATTGATCAGAGATGAATACATATCTTATCTCTTGACTAATGTCTTCCATCAATAGTTGTCTGAACCACCTCCAGCTCTCCTTAGTTTCTGTCTCAACCACTCCAAATGCCAATGGAAATTATTGATCGTTAGCATCTCTCCCCATAACAATTAGTAGTTGTCCACTATACTTTGTCTTCAAATGACATCCATCAATCTCCACGAATGGTCTACAACTATTGACAAATCCTTTCTTGCAACCATCAAAACAAAAATAAAAGGATCAAAACCTAGGTTGTATGGAAGGAGTAGGTCTTTCAACATTGATCTTGACAGTGTTACCATGATTCACTCTTGTTAATTTAGCAGCATACCTCCATATAGATGCATATTGATTATCTATATCACCTTCAATTATCTTCTTAGCAATTAACTTGGCCTTCTGTGCTTTTGTAACAGTAATCCCTACAGAAATTTTTTGCCTTATATCTCTTGCATTATGTCCCTTATCCTAACATTATCAGAACTT